AGAACTTCTCGCAAGCTCGCTCTTCCTCTATGAGTGTGGAGGCCGCTGGAACCTCCTCCACCTCCCAGAAACGCCGTAACAGGCCTGCCGTGTCATCCTGTGTACATTGCACAGTATGGCATTGAGAATTGCCCGGTTGGGCTTTCGACACGAGAGCTCCAAACAACACCCACCCCAAGCAGGTGCGCTGTGCGATGGGAGCCCCCGTGGTCCTTGGCGAATGCCAGGCACCAATATCTCGGCGAACACTTCCGCCCCAAGTATCGCCTCGATAGGCTCAACATTATCGGAACCATCCGCTAACTGAAGGCTCTTCAAATGCGCCAACTTCCCCGCCAGCTGCGCCATCTGCGGGGGGTGGTACGCTGTAAGTCGCGGTAGGATGAAGGCCTCCACTGTCGTGGAGAACGGGACGCCAGCAGTCGCTTTAAGCTGCAATGACGTGCTGGCACGCATCCGCTAAGGGTGTCCCTCTGATATGCCCGACAGGCCCACCCTCACTGACCGACGAGATGCTCGGAGGCGCTGAGCGACCGCCTCGAACACCAGGCTCACCTCAGAGCCCTGATCAACGAGCGCCCTAACCACAGTGGATCGTCCATTGGCTGCCACCAAGCAAACTCTGGCCGTGGCCAGGAGAACCCGCTGCGAGGGCATCCGCATCGTAGCATACGCCGTTAGCGGTTCCTTTTCTGAAGCCGGGGCGGCGTACTTCCCGGTCCGAATGCAGCAGCGAGTGGTGCGGTTCATCGCACACCTTGCGCCGACTCGTCCATGGGCAGGCAGCCGCCTGGTGCGACGAACCGAAGCAGTTAAAACACAGGCCGAGGGTCCCCACTCTTGCCCGGCGCGACGAAGTCGAATGGTCCTTGAAAGTCGGACAATTCCTAAGCCCATGCTCAGCACCGCATTCGGCACAATGATTCGGCTTGGGCCGATGGAGATGCAACGCCCGCTTAGTCTTTGCGGCGACCGGAGAGACCGCGGTGTCACCGCTGGAGTGCGTGACCGCCTTGACAGCCTCCAGGGCCGCCCGGCGCTCATCCAAGAAGACAGCCAATTGTTCACAGCCCACTGACTCTCGCCGAGCCGCGGTGGCCAGCTCCCAGGCTCGCCGCGTAGCGGGATCCAGCTTGGCACGGAGAATGTTGACCCACATCACCTCCCAAGCGTCTACCGATTGCTTCAAAAGGCGCAGCGCGCTCCGTAGCTCGTTAGCCTGATCGAGCAGCCTTCGCAACTCAGATGCATTCTCCTGACGCATCGGCAGGAGCTCACGAAAGGCATCGAGATGTTGGTCAACCAGGAGGCGACGGTTGTCGTAGCGCGCACAAAGTGCGTCTCATGCTTGCTCGAACGAGCCAGATACGAGGCTATAATTGCGGAGCAACCGCTCGGGCCCGTCCGATACACTCTGCTTTAAGTAGTGCATGCGGTGAACCGACGCCAACGTAGGGTTCTGCACAACCAAGGACTCAAATAGGTCTTTGAAATTGCACCACTCATCAAATCTCTCCTCAAACTTGGGGATCGGAATACGCGGTAGCGAGGCCTCGTGCACCACTGCTTGCGCAGGAACAGCGTGAGCCGATATCTCAGCTTTCTGAGCCTTCAGGCTGTCGACCAATTCCTGAAGCTCAACGCGCTGCGCAAGGTATACCTCCTCCGCCTCACCGTATGCGTCCTTTCGCAGATACTCCGACTCCCGCACCGACTTCGTGTGGGATGCCCGGATAACACGATGGTCAGCTTGATACTGCGCCCAATAGGTATTGAGCATCTGCAGACGAGAAATCAGCCCGGTAATCGTTTTCAATTCTCCGGACTTACGACCGTTTACCAGCAGTCGTGCCATCCGATGCTGCCGATCGTACTGAACCTCGATAAGGCCATGAATGTCCTCCTCAGACGCCATAATGGACTCAAGCTAAACCGCTAGATACAAGTCCGAGACTGCCGCTCCCGATCCGGCTCGAAGGACCAAAATTACGAGGGCGGTCCGATAAGTACTTAGCCTCACCGCCCGATGACGCCACTATCGCAAGAGAAATTTACTATCGTGTAGTACATTCTCGTAGACGGCTACTGTCGAAATTTCAGCCGAATCGGACTCGTAGTTTTGTTTTGACCGCGTGTGGAAGCGGGCGTGTCCGCGGATTTTAGAAAAATGGAAAAAGAGCAATATCGGTCGGTGATTCGATTCTTGTTTTTGGAAGGGAAATCGCGCAGCGAAATCAAAGAGCGCTTGGATGCTGTGTACGGTGACTCTTCTCCTTCGATCGTCAAAAATTGGTTTAACGAGTTTCAACGTGGTCGCACGTCGGTTTTTGATGAGCCACGCCCAGGTGCCCCGTAAACGGCTACCACGGAGGATAACATGACAAAAATCCACGATCTCGTATTGGCAGACCGCCGATTGAAGGTGCGCGAGATAGCTGAGACAGTAGGCATCTCAAAAGACCGCGTGGGTCATATCCTGCATGAAATTTTGGGCATGAGAAAGCTGTCGGCGCGATGGGTGCCGCGTTTGCTCACTCCGGACAACAAGCGCAACCGTGAGACCACTTCAGAGCAGTGTTTGACGCTGTTTAAGCGCAATCCGAAGGAGTTTCTGCGTCGTTTCGTGACCGTCGACGAAACATGGATCCACTGGTACACACCAGAGACCAAGGAACAGTCGAAACAGTGGACTTCACCCGGCGAACGTGCTCCGAAGAAGGCGAAGACTGTCCTATCGGCCGGAAAGGTGATGGCCACCGTTTTCTGGGATTCACAAGGTGTGATCTACATCGACTACTACTACTACATCGACCTGGAGAAGGGTAAAACGGTCACAGGGCTGTACTATGCCGAATTATTGGGCCGATTCGACGCCGAATTGAAGAAAAAACGGCCCCATTTGGCGAAGAAAAAAGTGCTCTTCCACTATGACAACGCACCGGCTCACACCTCCGCCCTCGCCACGGTCAAATTGGTCGAATTGGGCTACGAACTGCTGCCCCATCCACCGTATTCTCCAGATTTGGCCCCGTGCGACTTCTTTTTGTTTCCAAACTTGAAAAAGTCACTCGCCGGGCAGAAATTTGAGTCGAATGAGGAGGTCATCGCCGCCACGGAGGCCTATTTTGCAGACCTCGAGAAAACGTAATTTTCAGACGGGTTAAAGAAGTTGGAGCATCGCTGGGTCAAGTGTATCGAGTTAAAAGGAGACTATGTTGAGAAATAAATCGCCACTTTTCCAAAATTTTCGTTTTTCTTTTGTAGGCTAAGTACTTATCGGACTTATGGGACCAGCCTCGTATGTTAGGAACGAGACCGAACAGAGAATAACTCCGGAGAGCTGGCTGGTGATTTGGATTGCAGAGCGACGTCCGCCTGCATCCAGGTCGCTCGAGTGAGCTCGACGACCGACCGGTCGTCCTGGTTGACGTCTGGGTCCCGTAAGGCGGCCACAGGCCCCATAGAAACGCGCAACACCGTGCGCCGACGCACCGCGTCCAGAGACGGCGGCGAAACTAAGAGAGAGGAATGACACGCACGTGGTGACGTAAAGTGACATGCACTGTACAACGCAATGGACGCAATAGACGCAGTAGTAACGCAAGTGGAATAACGCAGAAGAACGACGCAGAAGGAACGCAGTAGAAACGCAAGTGGAATAACGCAGAAGAACGACGCAGAAGGAACGCAGTAGAAACGCAGAAGAGAATAAGCGCAGCTATTTACAAGGCGACAACCGTTCGCCTACGCAAAGTCCCGCAGGACACACACGTCTGTGACGTCAATGGTATGCGGCACCCGGAGCACGTCAAGTATGTGTAACGAAACGACTTCCGTCGTTTCGGAAGGCCTGCCCTTCCGGACGTAACGGCCTACAGCCAGCCACGGTCCCGAGGATGCGTAGAAAATGAGCTCTGAACTCTAGCTCGCAGGGCGACTAAACCGCTCTTGCGAGAGAGCCAAGTTCCCTTGCGGATACTTGGAAGAAAGAGCTCGAAGCTCTAGAGACGGCAATCGAGCCGCTTCTAAATTGCCAAGGCTCCTGACGGGCGCTTGGGAAACAAGGGAGCTCGAAGCTCCGAGGTGACGGTCGAGTCGCTCCTATATCACGGCAACAACGTAAGCGCAAGACCACAAGACGAGATTCGAACCATTAGCCTTAACCCAGGGTAAATCGGCGCCGCCTTCAACTCAGCAGAGTGTATAGAGCGCTGGTTCGAATCTAAGAGGTAAGAACGACCGCCCTAGGAAAGCCTAGAAAAGCGTGTCGGTAATCAGCAGTAGGGCGACAATCGCACCAAAAAGCAGCACAGGTTTGTTACTGAAAATGGCCAGGCAAATGATATGGCAAAAGACAAGGTAAGGCACGGCGCGCCCGGTTATATAGCCGGGCGGCCGAATCTTGCCTGCAGGCAGTGGAATCGCGGGCCACGCTACGTAGCGGCCACGGTCGGAGCTGTCCGTCTGTCGCGGGGCGCCAGCGGGAGCCCCACGCGCTCGCCCGCGAGAGACCGGTCTCCTCGCCGCTTGCGAGAACACCCCGGTGCACAGGCCGCCTGTCCTGCAGCGCCGAACCGTGAATCGAAATTCCGCACGGCAGCTCGTGCCGTACGGAACAACGTTATTTTCGTAAAATATCGACAACGGTGATAAATATTATTGCGAGTTTCGTACTCGAAAAATGAAACACAGTCAATTTTTCCCAGCGACTAAAATCACTCCGCGACTATCCCAAAGAGCACCAGCCATTTGTTCATTCACTGAGACAAAATTGTATTAAAATTAAACAAATATTTGTTTGAATACGACTGTGAATAGATTTATTCAAATTAAGCGACCAATTTCTAAAATGAAATACAGAGTTTCTGAATGTAAACTTTTTTCTTGAATTTTAGAAAATAATTGCTTAATTTAAATAAATGTTTTAGTCATAAATGTATTCGAACAAATATTTGTTTAATTTTAATACAATTTTTCTCAGTGTTCAAAGTATTAACTTGGTTTTAAACGAGAGCAGACTGGTGCTTCAAGCGAAAGTTCTACTGCAGATTTATCGGCGACTAACGACGCCGCTTCAAGATGTCGTCGAGCGAATTCTAACGGGTGGACGATCTAAGCAATTTCACGAAGAATAATTCCTTGCGAGGAGGATACATTTCAGTCGATGACTGCCGCGCGGAAAAGAGTCCCGTTCGTTACTCCGCGCTCTTATTGTTCTTTTCTTCTATTCTCTTTTCCAGCGCCATCTCTCGACATGAAACGTGACGCGCAACGGTTAACATACAAGGTATAAAGAATTCAGCTCGTGTGTCATCTGAAAGCCTGCAGCATGAATCGTGACGGGCGTGTTCCGACGGCAGGTCCGACGCGCAGCTGCATGAGGAGCACTCGCACAATGTTAAATAGGAAGAGCAGGTTCAACATAGTGGATACGTACACGGGGTAAACAAGCACACTCATATAGTTGCCTTCGTTGATCCAGCACCTAATCGTGACAGTAATCGTTGCATCACGCCGTCAACCAGTGTTGCCAGATCAAAATTATGTTTTTTCATCAATATTTATGCAAAAATTCTTCAAATTTCCTCACTTTTGGTAACAATTTCACCAAATTGATAAAATTTTTCACCAACTACGATGGTGGTCCGATAAGTACTTAGCCTACAAAAGAAAAACGAAAATTTTGGAAAAGTGGCGATTTATTTCTCAACATAGTCTCCTTTTAGCTCGATACACTTGACCCAGCGATGCTCCAACTTCTTTAACCCGTCTGAAAAATACGTTTTCTCGAGGTCTGCAAAATAGGCCTCCGTGGCGGCGATGACCTCCTCATTCGACTCAAATTTCTGCCCGGCGAGTGACTTTTTCAAGTTTGGAAACAAAAAGAAGTCGCACGGGGCCAAATCTGGAGAATACGGTGGATGGGGCAACAGTTCGTAGCCCAATTCGACCAATTTGACCGTGGCGAGGGCGGAGGTGTGAGCCGGTGCGTTGTCATAGTGGAAGAGCACTTTTTTCTTCGCCAAATGGGGCCGTTTTTTCTTCAATTCGGCGTCGAATCGGCCCAATAATTCGGCATAGTACAGCCCTGTGACCGTTTTACCCTTCTCCAGGTCGATGTAGTAGTAGTAGTCGATGTAGATCACACCTTGTGAATCCCAGAAAACGGTGGCCATCACCTTTCCGGCCGATAGGACAGTCTTCGCCTTCTTCGGAGCACGTTCGCCGGGTGAAGTCCACTGTTTCGACTGTTCCTTGGTCTCTGGTGTGTACCAGTGGATCCATGTTTCGTCGACGGTCACGAAACGACGCAGAAACTCCTTCGGATTGCGCTTAAACAGCGTCAAACACTGCTCTGAAGTGGTCTCACGGTTGCGCTTGTTGTCCGGAGTGAGCAAACGCGGCACCCATCGCGCCGACAGCTTTCTCATGCCCAAAATTTCATGCAGGATATGACCCACGCGGTCTTTTGAGATGCCTACTGTCTCAGCTATCTCGCGCACCTTCAATCGGCGGTCTGCCAATACGAGATCGTGGATTTTTATCCTCCGTCATGTTATCCTCCGTGGTAGCCGTTTACGGGGCACCTGGGCGTGGCTCATCAAAAACCGACGTGCGACCACGTTGAAATTCGTTAAACCAATTTTTGACGGTCGCCATCGAAGGAGAAGAGTCACCGTACACAGCATCCAAGCGCTCTTTGATTTCGCTGCGCGATTTCCCTTCCAAAAACAAGAATCGAATCACCGACCGATATTGCTCTTTTTCCATTTTTCTAAAATCCGCGGACACGCCCGCTTCCACACGCGGTCAAAACAAAACTACGAGTCCGATTCGGCTGAAATTTCGACAGTAGCCGTCTACGAGAATGTACTACACGATAGTAAATTTCTCTTGCGATAGTGACGCCATCGGGCGGTGAGGCTAAGTACTTATCGGACCGCCCTCGTATGTATACTGTGGTCATACTGTCCATGTTTATATGTGAGTATTGAAACGTAGTGAATGAATGCATTCTACGTAGCAGTATTACAACCGCTCACTGAGCTCTCAGTCAGCTTTTACATCCGATTGGCCTATTCCTTTAGATCCAAAAATATACGTCAATCAAATGCAAGAGCTCACTTAGTACTCAGTGAGCGATTGTAATACTGAATGCACCCAATCAATTCCACCCAATCAAATGACTCGTGGAAATTATATACTAATCAACCAATCAGAAAATGTTGGCCACTCTCTTTTTAGGTTGAATCTACAATAGATATAGTAAACCTCAAGTTGTAAAAAAATTGACCAATCACAGTCAATTATTTTCTTCACATTCGATTGTGGAAATTTTTCTCAGTACCGGCTGCCAAAACTTACCAGATTTATGCTTTTCCCAAAAAATTTTCACTAATCTCCAAAATGTGAAGAAAATCACCAAAGGAAGAGAATCCCTAAGGCCTGTTTTCGGCACCCTTCAAAATTGGACCAAAATGGCTGGAATCACTTCCTTATACCCTTGGAAGTAATATTTAGTCAATTCCAGCCTAAACGGAAGTATTTAGGGTGTATACTTTAAGTATACATGGTGCATCCGCGCGCCCGTATCAAGCATTTCTTTAGAAAACTAAGCGTTTCTGAGGAAAATGTTTCAGATAAAAGTTGTATGGTTTCAAGGGAGACATAAGATGGTGTCATTGGTTTGACCTTGGATTGTCATTTGAAGGTCACGTGAATGTCGATTTCAATATTTTATATAGAACCCCCTATTTTTACAAATTTTGTAGCTTATCTCGAGATCTTTCCAAAACACTATCGTAGATCATGTAGAAACACTTATTACAAATACTTCTGAAAGAAATGACTGACGTATTTTCTGCCGCAAGGCTAAATACGAAGTTTTGAAAATAGCTGTTTTAAGAACTGTATGTACCTTTTTGAGCAACTACGATCCCTTAAGCTTTTAATTCAATAGACCAAGTTCTGCTTATGTCTATGGCCTTATATCGGACCCGATCTCACATCTTAATGTCAGAGATACACAAAATGTGTGTATGCGCGTACCCAGGGACCTGGTTACGATAAAAATAAAACTACTTTTTGTCAGAGCTGCTTCTCGAGATTTTCTTATTACGCAAAAAGATATCTTGTTATTTTTGAGTTTTTCTTCTTTATTTTTTCTCCTTCTTTAGTTTTTAATCTTGCATAATTATTCAAATTTGTTCTACAGTGAATTGCAATTTATAATTAGGTGTTTCCAATATGGCAGAAAATATTAATGTTCTTGCAAACGAAACAATAACTATTCCTTTTAGTAGACCATCTATGACACATAAATGCATTATCTGCAAAGCTAAGTCGTCGCTTGTTGTTGTACCTTCCCTGGCTTCGGGTTTTAAGCATGGATTGATAATTGATAAAAAGTGACAGGCAAGGAGACTTACGTAAATCCAACACACCACTCTCCGCGGCTTCTTAAAGGAAGATTACGTATACGATTTTACTGTTCACGTATGGAGAATCAACGTATAAATAATATTATATAATCAAAGTATAAATAATATTAATCAACAAGTATAAATAATTTCAATCTCGGATCTCATTAAGTAACATTTCTACAAATCTATCTGTAAGAAGCCTCATAACTCGCAAAATATTTAATGAAAAATGACTTAGTTATAAGTGTTTTGGAAAGCTCTCAAGATAAGCTACAAGATATATAAAAATAGGGGGTTCTATATAAAATATTGAAATCGACATTCACGTGACCTTCAAATGACTATCCAAGGTCAAACCAATGACACCATCTTATGTCCCCCTTGAAACCATACAACTTTTATCTGAAATATTTTTCTCAGGAATGCTTAGTTTTCCAAAGAAATGCTTGATACGAACGCGCTGATGCACCATGTATACTTAAAGTATACACCCTAAATACTTCCGCTTAGGCTGGAATTGACTAAATATTACTTCCAAAGGTATAAGGAACTGATTCCAGCCATTTTGGTCCATTTTGAAGGGTGCCGAAAACAGGCCTTAGGGACCCTCCTCCTTTGGTGAAATTTCGCTAAAGTTGGCAACTATGCCGTGAACTCTTACGATCGGGTCGGCTTTCCGGTTTTTGAACTGAAACTTTTTCGTACATGTTAAAGGATAGATCGAAATATGAGAAAAATATGAGACCCTCGCCGCGCTGCTGTGGTGGATGTCCGGCTTGTGAGAATGAATTCATGAGTGCTCCTTACAATATCCCGCATGTTTTATACCGTGTACAATATCTACCCTAGCGCGCATGCATCTTTATGTGTGTGTGTGTGTGTCCTAGGTCTATAAAATATATCTGAAGCTTCGCTTCTCCTCTCGACATTTCCAACTTTCGAGTTTCCGGAGCTGCGAGAGACGTTACATTTAAATAACGGAATTCTGAAGTGCAAATGCTCGGACCTTCGGGAACACGAAACGCAACTCGGCCACTCTGTCTTGGAGAACTGCTAAATCAGCCATTTAAGGTCCGTAATGAGAATACCGAGCACGAAATTTCGCAGACATGAGCGCGATATTTCTGCAATTCTGTTAATAAGGAAACAGACAAGGACGAATCTGTTCTGTATGGAGTATCGATCGCCTTAGCCCGCGTCTGAGTATGTGTGTGTGTGTGTGTGTGTGTGTAACGTTTAACATAAATTCTTATTATATAACAATCTCCAGATACAACAGGAGGATGAAAAATGTCAAGAGAATAATTCGAGAGGATTAACCCTGTAATAGATATGGAGGAAGGAAGGAAGATGAACAAGCAGCGTTATGTAGCGAAGCAAGCGTAACCCGGGATTGGAGGATCGCCAGATATTGCAAGTCTAGTTATTGGGGATCGGTTATAAAATATTTACCATCTAATGGGGAGTATACTACAGAAAGACACCGGCAAAAATAAACATACAAGCGAGAGGCGGATGCTATCCCGTCGGGACGATCATACACGAATACGCGTGTTTACGCGAGCACGCTTCTCCGATAGCAAAAATAAAATCTCACTAACGAGATGAGACCGTCATATCGAAAACGTAAATCGATCTCCCTGGTCTGCTTCTCGTCGACTTCATGTTTCACGTCTTCGATCTCCAAAACGGAATGATCCCTTTTTGATAGGTTTATTCCCGTGTCAAGATAACTCGATAAAAAATAGCCAATCAAGCTTTTAAGAATAGTCGTCACTTTAAGCTTGCCTCCAGTCGGGTACATACACAGATTTAAATTTTTCAGCCGAACTGAAATTGCCGATACAGTCGCGAGCAATTGAACGTCGACGTTGCGGGTTGCGAATACAAAGACGGACGTCAAATACAAATAGATGTCTCAATTGTACTTGTACCATCTCATTCATTTGTTCCCAAGGACATGTGTAATTACGCATAATTATAGAGAAAACGATATAATTGTGCATAAGTGTACGGACACAATATTCATCATAGAATCATTTTTTCTTCGGAGAGACATCGC